ACCCAATTACCGTAAAACAGCTCAATAATCTATTGTCTCAGTAGTACACTATTCATGTGCAATGGCTGCGATAAAAAAAGTCTAATATAAAATCATGGGGAAACACTATAATCACTAAATATAAAAGGGAGAAAGATAATATACTTGTAGAGAACATGACATTTCACATTTGAGAAAGCAGTATAATCTTTGTTAACAAGGTCACCCTCACCAGATCGAGAAGAAGATGCACCCGGTTGATAAAGATATGCGATACACCGATTTCTGTACGAAAAAGACAAATGCAAATTACAGACAATCGGCAACAAATCATACATGCACCTTCTTTAGAGTACATATATGTCTAATTATCTGTAAGTTCACATCTATAATTTTTATACATGATTGCAGTCCCTGTATTTTCCAGCTCAGTTTTTCTCATATGAGCCATTTCCTCATATTGCCAATAAAATAGCAGCTCCTGCTACTTTCATGGAAAAAAAGGACTTGCACATACATGCAAATCAGAATGGATAGAGCATGGTTAAATATGGTACCAGTGACATTTAAGTGGTTACGTACGGCTGCTTAATTCCTACCAAGAGAACTGATACACACAGATCAGAGCATGGTTAATTTCTAACATCAGTCATAGCACATCGTAGGCCAACTTGAAGGCAAGAATTTGGATCAGATGAAATACAAGTATGGAGAAACAACTAAAACAGTCAAACTATCCACCCTTCACGTACATACATATATTCTTCAACCACATAATCTGCTATCACTGTAATGTCAAAAAAGGAATATTCTGATCAATGTATTTTTTCAATTATAGATGGGGAACCAGGAAAGCTACATCATGTACCTTAAAAGTCAGTTCACAAAATGTATCATGTATGTTCAATTAAGAGTAACCTTTGATTCTGAATAAAATCCCCATGGTGTGCCAGTTCAACCAAAGAAGGATTGTGCAAAGTAGAGTGAGAAGAGTACCCAAGTTTCTTCCTGATTAGATAATTGACATAAATTTTCATGATTAAATTGATGAACAATTCAGATCAAGCAAATAACAGCAAATGTTCTTCCTGATTACATAAATCAACGATTCAGAAGAGAGTGAATGTAAATTGGTAGGATACTGGGGAAGAGAGTAATTTCGGTATCTTGGTCATCCAGGTTTGATTGTGTCATTGTTTTATGAAGAGAAAAATTGTTTTATCTAAGCGGACTACATTGCTGATATATATGCTGAACATCAGCCGGCACAATAGTAACGCAATCATTCTGTCACAATGCTCTAAATGAAAACAATATATAGAAGGGCATAGAGAGAGTGGTGAAGATCATTTAAAGCATCAGCAATTAGTTTATTATAAAGATAAAATAAAGAATTGAGGATCGACCTCTATATGCCCGGGGGAAATGTACAGTATGTGTATATCTCACAGAATTTAAGATGCATAGAATAAAGAAAAGAATGTAAGATGGAATATGTATTTTGTTAGTAGGAGGTATTGAGAAGATCAATTCTTAAATGTTACAAACAAAGTAAGCACAAACTCTTGTTAAAAGAAACTTACTTGAAGCAGAAGAGGACCGGGGGCGGCGGGGCAGAGGCCAAGCTGAGCGACTCAGGTGGCGAAGGGCGACGAGCGGCTCCCGTGGCAAAGGGGCGGCGGCTCCGACCGAGGAAGGGGCGACGACTCCCACGGCGAAGGCGCGGCGGCTCCAGCGGCGGAAGGGGCGGCGGCTCTGGCGGCGCGGCGAGGGGGGCGGCGGCTCCCGTGGACGAAGGGGGCGGCAGCTCCGGCGGCACGGCTCCCATGTCGGCTAACGGCTGCGGGAGGAGGAGGAGGGGGCGAGAGGTCGCGCAGGGCTGCGGGCGTGCTTGGCAGCGGGTTTTTTTAGCGCGAGGGGCGAGGGAGGGTTAGCGATCGATGGACGTGGCTTAATGCGTGGTTTGCAGTGTTAAACATAGAAGGAATAAGGGCCATTAGATATTGATGATGGATGGATCTGATTGTTTGGATCTTCCCCTCTCTGTCTTTTATAGTGGTAGTAGATTCATGGATATTTTAAAGGCCTGTGAATTTTTTAATTTTGTGAACCTTTTTAAAATTCACGAGCACTATTTGAAACCATGAATATGTTTTAAATTCTGTATCATCTTTTTAGTCTGCAAAATTGTTAAAATCCAAGATTTTAATACATCTACTTCTCTTATATTTAATTAACTTTTCAAATCAAAAAACGATAGTCAATTGTTTTTAAGCTAGCAGTGTAGTGAGCGAAAAAACTAAGCGAGCTATTCAAAGGACGGCCCATGTGAAGCTCTAGCAATAATTAGATCACTAATGGCGCACGATGCCACGCCCTCCTATTTGAAATTTTCTTAAATATAGACAAACATGATCTGCGGATGTTAATTAAATTCGCGTCTATTGACCCGTATGTGAGCAATGAAATGAAGGTGACTATTATTTGGTTTGTAATACGGGCGCTGAGATGCGTGCCTCCAGATTCAACCGACAAAAAAACCGACCTTGTGAGAATTGAAAAGGACTCAGATGTTTTTAGAAAAATGTAATAAGAAACCCACGCTACATGACACAACTAGTGTAACATTAGAAAAACAACTAAAGTACAGACACATATGCTCAGATACAACGTAGCGTCGCCACTACAAATGCATGCACGAACATCTGTCTCTATGGATACCTTGGAGGGCAAACTTTTTTTGCGCAATACCGGTACCTACTGGCAAGAATTTCATTGTTCACGCTCTAGTCTAAGATTCGGGCCATGGACAACTATTATTCCTCATTTTCTACTATACAAATTGAATACTACGAAAATGCATAGGAGTTCTCGGGTGCTACGCTCCCTTATATTAAAAAATAATTTAGTAATTCAAAAAAGTCAAAAAATCCCAGAACTTTTTATGTAATCAAACATGACCAAGTATTGCATCCGTATAAAACGATTAAATAGGAAATTCCTTTTATTGTGTCCGGCGTCAAAGATTTTCCAAAAAATGCTATCTACAAGTACTATTCATACTATATTGTCGTCATAAATTTGTTTTTTTACCTTGAAGTCAACGAGAATTATTCCTTGGCCAAACTTTTTATATGAGTACAATACCTAGTCATATTTGGTTCAAAAATATATCCAGTGTTTTCTTGACTTTTTTGGAATCATTAAATTATTTTTGAATATAGAGGGATGGAGCACCCGAGTGCTCCTAATCCGCTTCCTTGAATACTGGGCCTACTATAACTATGGGCTCCCACCATTGTCCTTGATATGGCAGTGATGACAGCATTGTGACAACTCTCTCTCTCTCTCTCTCTCTCTCACACACACACACACACACACACACACACACACACACACACCCCACACACACACACACACTCGCGACATGTTGCCATATTTTCATCTAACACTCGCGACATGAGTGACCCTAGGTTTTTAGCCCTGGCGGTGATCCAAAGATTTGCCTCGGTCATGATGTTGTTGAGCAAAATGGTTGGTGGCGCGCTTTTGTTGCGGAAGACCTTTTCGTTCCATACGCTCCATGAGAGAAGCATGATACGCGAAGCCATGGCCTTCCTCTGAGTGGTGCCCGCGTTGGCACGACTTTCCCACCACTTTTTTACGGAGCCGTCCAAGTGCCAAGAAGTGACGTCGAAGTTCTCAAGTCGTAATTTCGCTTTGACCAAGCCCCAAAGCCTCAATGTAAAACAACACTTGAAAAAGAGGTGAGCGCCACACTCTTGCACTCTGTTGCAAAGAGGACAAAACCCATAATTTTTCCATCCCCGCTTGTCCAACCTATCGGCCATCCAAATGCGATCTTTAATAGCCAACCATGCGAAGAACTTAACCTTTGGCGGCGCCCAAGGCTTCCACACCATTTGGTCCAAAGAGGAGAAGGTCATGCAAAGGAATTGCGCCTTGTAGGCAGAGGCCGCGGAGTAGAGCTCATTTGTCGAATGTTTCCACACAATGCCATCATCAACACTCTCATCAAGTTGTACGTCATGCGCTAAACCCCAAAGGGTGAAGAACTGTCGGATGTGCTCGGTGGATAGAGCGATAGGAGGTTTGATCTTCAGAATTCATGCGTTATTTTGGATCTTCAGAATTCATGCGTTATTTTGGAGGGCCTCACGCACCATCCAATTCTTTCTCGAGGATGCATCAAATATGAGCGGGGCGATCTCCTTGGGCACGTCCAAGTAGCCAAGGGGCGTCCCAAAATGAAGTTCTTGCCCCGTTCCCTATTGTGATTGTTGTGGAGGCGTAGAAAAACTTCAAATCCTCCTCGTCGCACGGGTTTCCCATCCCAACCCACATCTTGCTTGGTTCCTTCCACTCATACCAAGGCCATCTCAAGCGCAAGGCGCGTGCAAACTTATCCGTGCTGAGCACCCCTAGACCACCATATTCACGTGGACGACAAACAATTTCCCAGTTGACTTTGCATTTTGCCCTTGTCATCTTGTCCGCACCGGTCCAAAGGAAAGCCCTTTCAAGCTTATTGACATACCGAAGAGTAGATGCCGGTATGACAAGCGACGTGATGAAGTAGACCACAAGGATGGTAATCATCGACTTGACAAGGATCGTTCGGCCAATGGTGGTGATGTTCTTGCCCTCGTATGTAATGGCCTACTTGCCACCTTGTCTTCAAGGAATTGAAGATCACCTTTCTTGAGCTGCCAAACTGAGATAGGAAGGCCCAAGTACCGCATTGGGAAGGATGCTGGTGTCGCGGGCAGGTTTTGAAGAAGGATAGTAAACTGCATCCAACAGCACTACAGCAGCCATCTATTACCAACGTTGACAAAAATACAACTCGATGGTACTCCATTGTTTATACGTTTTCAGCAAAGGAAAGTAAACTGATCTCCACCAGTAGGCAGTAGCCACCCATGACGAAGGATTGATTCATGGCATCTCTCGCTCGCTCGCGCAGTCAGCTCTTCTCTTCTGACGGCCTCGTCTCGCGTTCAATGCAACGGTGGGATGCTCTGCTCGTTCCTGAAGTAGTTGGTGGGATCCACGGCCGCCTTCACCGCCGCCAGCCGCCGGTAGTTGCCCACGAAGTAGCGCTCGCCCCAGGCCTCGCCGCCCTTGAACGTGCCGGCCTCGTCGTTCTGCCCGACGTCCAGATCCCGGAAGTTGACGTACGCCCGCCGAGGGTTCTTGCTCACGCACTAGTAGAAAATAGGGCTTTGGTCCAGGCCGGGTCAGCCCATTAGTCCCGGTTCAGTCCAGAACCGGGATCAATGTGGGCATTGGTCCCGGTTCGTGAGCCCAGGGGGCCGGCCGGGCCACGTGGGCCATTGGTCCCGGTTCATCTGGACCTTTTGGTCCCGGTTGGTGGGATGAACCGGGACCAATGGGCCTCGCTCCTGGCCCACCATCATTGGTCCCGGTTGGTGGCTTGAACCGGGACCAAAGGTTCCCCTTTAGTCCCGGCTCATGTCACCAACCGGGACCAATGAGATGCCTATATATACCCCTCGCTCGCGAGCAGAGCATCCCAGTGCTCTGTTTTTCTCTGGCCGAGGGGGAGAGGACTTGGTGGTGCTCTAGCTCACCTCTTATGCACACAAGGTGTTTGATGGAATGCCTGAGCCACACTACTTAAGCTTTTTCCTCTCCAAGCTCCATTTTCCATAATATTTGTCTAGGTTTAGCGGTCCGTCACGCCCCGTCCTCGTCTTCACCGCCGTCGATCACCCGCGCCGAGCTCATCGCCGGCACCACCGTGGTGAGCCTCTTGTTGTTATCTTCTTTCTGAAAGGAACAATATTCTTACTTGTATGTTTACATAGATACTTGTATTATTTTCTTACTTGTATTATTGCATCTTATATAGTGCGATGGTTTTGGTATCCGCCCCCGTCGGCCCTCGTCCTGTCTATGATTCGGATGTGGTATATATATTATCTTTATAACTATTGGTTCATTTATTGTTTATGAAAATTATGCCGACCAACGTGACATAGATTTTATTTATGTAGGATGTATGTGAATCGGAAATGCCAACCGACCCTATTGTCGAGAGATTAAATTTAGTTGAAAAAAAAAACAATTTGTTGAAGGAAAAAATAAAAAAAGTTGAGGAGGAGAAGATGATATTGGAGTTGCATGTTGCGGATGTCGTCGATGATCACAAGATCAAGATGGATGCAATGCGCTTGAAGATTAGAAAGATTAGAAAATATGCCATTCATACCGAGGCTTGGTATCATTATGTCGTTGGATCAATTGTTACCTTGGTTGCGATTATGATCGCATTTGTTTTTGCATTGAAATGTTTTACATAGTTTCAATGTATGGTTTAATTAATTAGATGCTCTGAAGAGCTATATGTTGTTAGATGAGAACTATGTATGCACTTTGGTTTTAATGTGATGACGAACTTCTATTAATTTGGACACTTAATTATATATAATGCACGCAGATGAACCGGCAATGGATGTACGGTGACAGACACACCCGCGAGTACATTAAGGGCATGCATGAGTTTCTCGATGCGGCTGAGGCAAACAAGTAGAATGGTTTTATGTGTTGTGCATGCACTGAATGTGAGAATACGAGGTCTTACTGCCGATATGAGAAGATTAGAGATCACTGGCCGCATTTGTGGCCCACAAGACATCAGAAAAGAGTAAGAAGATGTCGGCGACAAACAAGCAAAATGTTGCGAAGAAGAAGCTTCACCATCGCACGGGGTCAGGTGGCTACCTCATAGCCCGGCGTAAGTGGGCCAAGACTGAGAATGATCTGGTTGATAAAGGGATCGAACCAGAGACAATTAACTGGCCAGATCGTTGCCGAACTTGGTTCTTCGGGGCTGGCCGAACCTTGGACACTATAACAGGGAAGTGCATTTGGACGAACGATCAAATGGACATACCAGTCAGGAAGCTTAAGCAGTATATCGAAGCAGCGTAACAAGGGACGTTCTTTCCAGACAGAAAGAACGACAAGCTCACAATGGCCCTCGGGAATCCTGAGCACCCTGGACGGACACGAGGCACGCCAGGCTCCATTCCATGGAAGGTTGGGTTTTCGGACACAGGCGGTTACAAATCCCATGAGAGGAGGAAAAAAGTGCAGCAGACCTAAATGCAGGCGCTGCAAGCAAGGGTAGACGCGATAGAGGAACGAGAAGCAAATCACAGCAAACGTACTGCCAAAGCTTCCCCCGAAGCCACCCCGCCATCTCAGCACAGAAACAGCGTGGCTTCCACCGAGCTGCTTCAGCCGTAGCATGCCTTCACGGCTCCTGCCAGCTATCCCGTGGATGCTATCACGGAGTCTCAAAATTGCCACCTTATGACGCAATGGATAAATTTGAAGGTCAAGGCGGCTGTTGGCTCTGTTTATCTTACTGAACCCGGCGCAACTTTTCACTGCCGGCCGATTCCAGAAGGATATGCTAGGGTGATGGTGGATGAAATAACGGAGGGATTTAAGGACCTCCAACTTGACCACCCTACCGGTGAAGGGGAGACTCGGCTGGGGTCTGCTCTGAAGACTCCATGCCTATGGTGGAAGGAGCTCATCAACCTTCCGAAATGGACGCCTCCGCCTCCTCCTCCTCCTCCGGCGAGTCAGGGCACTCCGCCTCCTCCACCGCCTCCTCCTCCGGCGAGTGACGATCAGGGCACTCGACCGGCTCCTTCTCCAGCGCGTGGCGGCACTCCGCCTCCTTCTCCGCCTGCGCCGGCGCGCCCAAGCAGCCAGCCTCCTCCTTCTCCGCCTCGTCAGCAAGGGCGGAAGAGACCTGCCGCCGCTCCGGCTGCTCCGGCGCGTCGTAGTGCTTCTCCTCCGCCTCGTAAGCAAGTAAAGAAGACAACTGCTCTGTCTGCTCGGCCGGCGTCTAGCAGTACAGCCAGAGGCGGGAGGACATACAGATTCGGTCCTTCTCTGAAGACTCCAGAGAAGTTACCATACGAGAGGACCCCGGAGGAGAACGCCGATATCGCACGAACCGAAGTGGATGACTGATTTCAAGGGTTGAAAGCAAAGAGACATCCATTTCCGGAGGAGAAGGTAGATCTAGTGAAAGCGAAGCGCACTCTGGCTGCCCTGACAAAACTACCGAAGTCTCCGCCGAAAGGAAACTATGAGCGCATTATTGAAAAGGAATTTGCCGAAGCGTAGCGGTCGGGAAGTACTGTCAGTGATCAAAGGCTGAAAGAACGACGAGCTGGGAAACAAATTGCCTAGCTCGGCGAACAAGCGAAGCAATTGTGCCCCCGCTCAAGGTGCCTAGCCACAACGTCGTTAATGATCCGAGGATGGTGCCCGGTTATAGAAATCTTGCAGATTACCTGCCCGACGATGTACATTATGAACCCATGGACGTGCCGATACAAAGATACGAATACGGGAAGCCTCTCGTCAAAGATGAAAGATCTCTATCAACGATGATGTGAAGATTGCATGATTGGTACTTGAAAATCTGCAGAGACTCTGGGGGGAGGAGTACTTTGTATGTGAAAGTTAAAAAGGAGCATGACCTCGTTGGAATTGAACTGTTGCCTGTTCCATTTGAGGAGTTCTATCAATTTTCAATCAATTGGCCCTCGATAAAACAACGGTCGCCTGCTACTGTCTGTAAGTAGTACTACTTCTGTCATTAAGTCTCTCTATATAGCTCAGCTCTTTCATTGCATGTATTTATAATCATCCTCACTATATTATACAGATTGAAGATCGCCGAATTGAAGAAAAGACAAGTCGGTGATATTGGGTTCATTAACACATATCTCATAGATGCAACTCAGGTTAAATTTCATGCCGCAGCTACCGAGGCCAACTTGCTACGATCATTCGTAATAAATGAAAACAAAGATATAATATTTTTTCCTTACAACTTCAAGTGAGTGTTACTGTCTTGTGCGTATTCGGTTTCCCTTATATATTAGTCAAGGTTATAGTAATGTAATTGATGAGTTATGCATGCGTGTGCAGTTTCCACTATATTCTCCTAGAGATTAAGCTTGAGCAGGGACTAGTAATCATCTTAGACTCAAGACGAAAAGATCCCCAGGACTATGCAGACATGACTCAAATACTCGAGAAGTAAGTTAAATCGATCATTATCCACCATATCAGCAACTTTGTTCATTTCCTGATATATCAAGTAATTGTTTTCTTTGTTTGGCAGGGTTTGGAGAAAATTCATTAGAAAAGCACTGAGACTGCCGAAGGAGCTGCAATTTAGACACCCGAAAGTAAGTACTATAGTAGCATGTTCCGCGTATCTACTAGTCATTCAAGCGCTAGTTTCATCAATACCATTTGGCATTCTTGCTTATCAGTTTGATTGACCTCTATTTCTTGTAAAGTGGTTGTGGCAGGAACAAGGGAATGATTTCTATGGATACTACGTTTGCGAGTCCATCCGCCACACGACCTGTGAGCAGGGCTATACTGACGAACAATATGAAGTACGTAAATGACAACATTCACAATTTTATTTTATTACCATCATTTGTGTTGAGTTTCATTCATTCATTCATTCATATATATATATATATATATATATATATATATATATATATATATATATATATATATGTATTGACCTCCTTTTTTAAATTAGATGTTTCGGAAGCGGGATGAACTCCTAGCACCAGCTCACATGCGAGCAATTCAAGAGGAATTGGCGGCATTCTTTCTTGACGATCATGACGATCTTCTGTTTCCTTCGTTTGCTTACTAGCTAGCTAGCGTGTCTAGTCCTCTCTATACGTATGTATAGTACGTAGCGTCGACCAAGCACGGACATAAGAGAGGACACTTCTCTCTATTAATTATAGCTAGCTAACACAATATATGAAACACCTAAATTAACTCCCCAAACACCCCCCAAACACCCCCCTTTTCAAAAAAAACAAAAACACCAACCACAGAAATGCTGACGCGTGGATGCCTATTGGTCCTGGTTGGTGCCACCAACCGGGACCAAAGGATCTCCTGCCTGGGCTCCGCGCACGGGCCACGTGGAGGCTCATCTGTCCCGATTCTGGATTGAACCGGGACTAAAGGGACAGGGCATTTGTACCGACCCTTTAGTCCTGATTTTAGAACCGGGACAAAAGGCCCTTACAAACCGGGACAACAGGCCTTTTTTCTACCCGTAACATGCCGCCCCATCAACTCGTACAGGCCCTGGATCCATGCCGTCGCCACCGTGCCGCTGTCCCCGCCCTCCTGCGGCCACGTCACGATGTACTGCATCACGTACAGCACGCCGTTCCGGTGCGGGTACGGCGTCGCGGCGGCGGGGATGTTGTTGCAGCTCTAGACTAGCTTTGGACGGAGGTAGAAGAAGAAGGAGCAAAACACAAGTACACAAAGAACCCAGCCGCACGTACGGCTTACTATTTCTTTGTTCCAACCCGTTGGCTCAGCTCATGCGGTTACAACGATCAGGGCCTTTTATACCCAGGCTAACAACCAGCGCCCATACGCCCACGACGTTGCTCCCACGAACGATCCGCTTGGCCCGTGAGCGCACTTGACGCGCCCATACGCGCACGACGCTGACTCCCCGCAACGGAACGCCCAGGTTCTCCACAGCTATTCGCCCGTTGCATACGCACACACGCACGCAACACCAACCGGAACACGGACGCGGCACGCACCGGCGACCCATCCAAACCTAAACACACACACGCCACGCTACTGCGTCCCGCACGTCCTGCCCGTCCCGCACGTCACCAACGCGCCCGACGAGCTCGACAAGCCCGATGGCACCAGTGCGTCCCGCCCGTCCCGCGCGCATCCGTCGCGCCCGACGAGCCCGACCACACACGCCGTGGCTTATTTCAACAGGGGACGCCGCTCATGAACCTGCCGTGGGGCTCCAGCAGGATGAACCCGGCGCCGGCCTTGGCGAACCAGGGGAAGATGTCCTCCCACGCCGCCTTGGGGATGGCGCGCCGGACGTAGTCCGACTTGCCCTTGTTGGACCTGCTCAGCCCGGTGGTCCTGTTCAGGAGCGCCTCCTCCAGCGTGCCGTTCCTGCCGAAGCTCAGGAACGGCGTGGCCGCCGACTGCGCCCAGCTCATCGGCTGGCAGTCGGCGCTCGTCATGCCCAGCTCCGGGAACTGGTCGTCCATCATGGCCACCAGCGAGCCGCACCCGCCGAGGTACAGGGCCTGGAACATGGCCTGCCGCCCTCGCACGATCGCCCTTAGGGTGATGTCGCTGGGCAGACACGGCGCCACGTCCTGCCATCTGGTGAGGACGTCCACGGCGCCCTGCTCCACCGTCTTGGCGACGTTGAACGCCACCACCGTCGACGGGACCTGCACGAGCTGGACCTTCCACGAGAGCACGATGCCGAAGTTGCCGCCGCCGCCGCCCCGGATGGCCCAGAAGAGGTCCTCCCCCATGCCGGCCCTGTCTAGGAGCTCGCCGTCGGCGTTGACCAGCGTGGCGTCGAGCACCTTGTCGCTGGAGAGGTCGTGCTTGCGCATCATCATGCCGACGCCGCCGCCGCTCAAGTGGCCGCCCACGCCGATGGCCGGGCACTCGCCGGCCGGGAACGCGAGCCGGGAGTCGTTCTTGGCGATGGCGTAGTAGAGCTCCCCGATGGTGGCGCCCGAGTCGACCCAGGCCGTGGACTGGAGCCGGTTGACGCGCACGGCCCGGAGGTTGGCGCCGAGGTCGACCACCGCGAACGCCTCGGAAGAAGGCCGCGCCGAACGGTAGGACAGGCCCTCGTAGTCGTGCCCGCCGCTGCGCACGCGTAGGCGCACGCCCTGGCCGCGGCCGCAGAGCACGGCGGCCTGGACGTGGGAGGCGTCTCGGGGCGTGACGATGCAGAGCGGCCTCGCCGTGGCGTTGGTGAAGAACTTGTCGTTCCTGATGGAGGAGACCAGCACGTCGGTGTGTAAGATGTAAAGCGTTCCCTACCCCTCGAGGGGGATTCGCGGGCTGTATATATTGATGTGCCGAAGCCAAGCCTTGGCGTACAAGGAAGGTTTACAAGAGTTTGAGTAGAATAAGTAAAGGAAAGAGTTGGAGGCTGCTACGGAAACTATATTCGCTAACACCCTCCCTTAATCTTAACTACCCTAGATTAAGATTACTCTTGAACTCCTCAAACGGTCTTGCTGGTAAAGCCTTTGTAAAGCCGTCCGCCACTTGATCCTTAGAGGGAATAAATAGTATCTCAAGTTTCTTTGCTGCAACTCTCTCTCGCACAAAGTGAAAATCAATTTCTATGTGCTTTATTCTTGCATGAAACACAGGGTTTGCAGACAAGTATGTTGCTCCCAAGTTATCACACCATAAACATGAGATACTTTCTTGATCCCCAATTCCTCAAGAAGTGATTCAACCCAAATGATTTCAGCAGTTGCATTCGCCAAGGACTTGTATTCAGCTTCTGTGCTTGATCATGACACAGTTGCTTGCTTTCTAGCACTCCAAGAAATAAGATTGGACCCAAAGAACACTGCAAAACCTCCTGTTGATCTTCTATCATCACTGCATCCTGCCCAGTCAGCATTAGAGAATGCACTCACAAGAGAGGAGCCAGAACGTTTGAAGTGAAGTCCTGTTCCCATAGTATGCTTCACATATCTTACAATTCTCTTGACAGCTGACCAATGTGCGGAAGTGGGAGCATGAAGATATTGACAAACTTTATTAACAGCAAATGAGTTATCTGGACGCGTGAGAGTTAGATATTGTAATGCTCCCACAATACTTCTGTACCTTGTGCTCTCTTCTTCTTGAAGTGGCTCACCTTCATATGCTGAGAGTTTTTCTGAGGAAGATAAAGGTGTAGGTACTGGCTTGCAATTCTTCATTCCCATGCGAGACAAAAGCTCAATGATATATTTCTCCTGATTTAACACAATACCATCTTGAGTTTTTCTAACTTCAATCCCAAGGAAGAAATGCAAGTCACCCAGGTCTTTCAAGGCAAACTCTGAGCTCAAGTCATGCAGAAGTGCATTAGTAGCATTTTGTGAAGAACTTGCAACTATGATATCATCAACATATATAAGCACAAAAATGACTACTCCGGCCTTGTTATAAACAAACAAAGACATATCAGCTTTAGAGGCAATGAAACCAAGATATTTCAATTGTAAGCTTAATCTAGAGTACCATGCTCTGGGTGCTTGTTTTAGACCATAGAGTGCTTTGTCAAGCTTGCAAACATAATGTGGTGATTCCTTATCCTCATATCCAGGTGGTTGTCTCATGAACACTTCCTCTTCCAGAACACCATGCAAAAACGTGTTCTGTACATCTAGCTGTCTTAGGCTCCAACCCTTGGATACAGCAATGGCTAGCACAAGTCTGATAGTTGCAGCTTTCACAACAGGACTAAAGGTGTCCTCGTAATCAATACCATAACGTTGCTTAAAGCCCTTTGCAACTAGACGTGCTTTATACCTGTCAATGGAGCCATCTGCCTTCTTTTTGATTTTGTACACCCATTTGCAATCGATGATATTTTTGCCTTTTTGGTTTGGTACAAGATGCCAGGTTTTGTTCCTCATAAGTGCAGAATATTCCTCATCCATTGCCTTCTTCCACTTAGGATCATCAAGTGCACTACTCAACGTTGTTGGCTCTCCTGAAATACACAACATTCCATATGGTATAGTTCCATCTTTTCTTATTTTAGGATTCCGTATACCTTTCTGTAGACGTGTCATAACCCGTGAAGAAGCTGCTGGCTGAACCTCAGGAATGCTGGCCACAGAAGATCCTGACGAGCCTGCATGTGCTGACACAGGGGAATCTGCTGCCTCCTGCGCAGATGATCCTGCGGCCGAAGGTGTGGCCGCCTCCCCAGAGCGCACACAAGGGCCAACCGCCCGGTCCGGCACAGCCGATCCGCTGCCCGACCGCGGTTGCAGGCGCACGCGGGGCGAGGGGGATCCGGCCCCGCTGCTGGTCCCGCCTGTTGCTGAGGTGACGGCGCGGGAGTGGCCCTCCCTGGATTCGTTGCCGCAGCTGACAGAAGCATGATCCGAGGCGGATTTGCTCGCGCGATTCGAGGTCTGCCCGCGCACAGGAATTCCAGGCGCCGCCGGATCACCTTCGTTGTCCGTGCCAGGTTCGTCTTCTTCCTCAGCATGCAATATAGGATTAATTTGAGCTATATTTTCAGGATTTTGATCAATTTGAGCCCTGTTTTCTCCAGAGACCTGCACAGGCAACAGAGAAGAGCAAGTACTAGTAGAAATATCGTCACTTTGATTAGTACAATTGTCGCCCCCATGATCAAAATACCGAAGATGTGGAGGAAGAAGAAGAATTTCCTTGCGAAGAAGTGCACCGGCATTGGGATGAATTGATGCAAACGGAAACACGGATTCATCAAAGACAACATCTCGGGATATGTAGACCCTACCACTAGGAACATCAAGACATTTGACCCCTTTATGCATGGGACTATAGCCTAAAAAGACACACTTTTTTGAGCGGAAAGCAAGTTTGTGTGTATTGTAGGGTCTAAGATTGGGCCAACATGCACAACCGAAAACACGAAGAGATGTGTAGTTTGGTGTGACACCAAGGAGTCGTGTAATAGGAGTTTCAAATTTGATAACTTTGCTTGGAAGCAAATTGATAAGATATGTAGCAGTTAAGAATGCTTCATCCCAAAATTTAAGTGGCATGGATGCATTTGCGAGCAATGCAAGCCCCATATCAACTATGTGACGATGCTTTCTTTCAGCAGATCCATTTTATTGGTGAGCATGAGGACAAGAGACATGATGTGATATGCCAAGTTTTTGGAAGAAAGAGTTCAATTTTTCATACTCACCACCCCAGTCACTTTGCATAGCAATGATTTTAGAGTTCAGTTTGCGTTCAACAAGATTTTGGAAATTGAGAAAGACTTGGAAAACATCAGACCGTTTCTTTAACAAATAAATCCAATCAAATTTACTATAGTCATCAATAAAGCTTACATAATAAGAAAATCTCCCAACTGAAGTAGGGGCTGGCCCCCATACATCTGAAAATATGAGTTGTAGAGGAGCAGTAGACACACTAGTAGAGATGGAATAAGGTAATTGATGACTTTTTTCTTGTTGACATGGATCACAAACTGACTCAACACTATTCTCATAAGAGAGTTTATTTTTGCTAAGAACGTATTTAACTATGACTGAAGATGGATGACCTAAACGACTATGCCACCTTGATGATGATGGCTTGGTGACAATGTTGGCTTGCTTATTTGACCGTGAAGAAGAAGATGATGATGATATAAGTGGATAGAGGCCTCCCACGCACCGTCCTCTAAGAATGATTCTCCTTGTTCTCAAATCCTTAACCAAGAAAAAATAAGGGTAGAATTCTATGAGAACATTGTTATCAAGGGTGAATCGATGAACGGAAACAAGATTTTTTGATGTTTGAGGGACATGCAAGACATCATTCAGGTCCAAATTTTTCATGGGGTTTTTAACAATTGAATTACCAATGTGAGTGATATTCATACCAGAACCGCTTGCCGTGCGAATTTGGTCGCCTCCATTGTACTTCTCCCGTGTTGTCAGCTTCTCAAGTTCACCTGTGATGTGATTTGTTGCTGCACTGTCGGCGTACCAGTTTGTATCTACGCCATAGGAGACAGCATGCGCCTCCTTCTCTTCCTGATCGTTCTCTTCATAGCGCCACCAGCAAACACGTGCGCCTCCTGGATGGTGCCTATAGCATATCTGACATTCCGGGTAATCGTGCTGCTGTTCACGCACCTGCTGTTGTTGTTGTTGTCGAGGGCGTCCTCTGAATCCGCCGCCTCTATTTGCAGGAGAGGGCTTGCGGTCACCGCGGTCACCGCGATCACCATGGCCGCGCCCCCTTCCTCCTCGCCCACGGGGTCTGCCGCGGGACTGGCCACGGCCTCTATAGACTGCGTTGGCCGATGAATGAAATCCTCCTGAAGATGAATCACCCAGCATCTCCATCCTCTGATCAAAAGCAGAAATCTGAGCGAAGAGGTCGTCGGCGGTGATAGTGTTCTTGACAGCACCGATCGCTGCAACCACAGAGTCATAGTCGCGATCAAGTCCCGCCAGGATGTAGTCCACCATCTCCGGGTCAGAGACAGGGCGCCCAGCAGCAGCAAGTTCATCCCCAAGGCTCTTCATCTTTGCCATATACGCCAAGCTCGACATGGTGCCCTTCTTGGTGTTGGTGATGGCGATCCTCAGATTGGTGATCCGGGATTGTGATTGCGAGGCGAAGAGATTTGTCACCGTCGTCCAGAGCTCGTAGGTGGAGTCCTTCCCACCGACTTGTGCAAGGATTTCAGGAGACATGGAATTGAGTAGATATGATAGGACCTGTTGATCTTTGGCGATCCAGGGCCCCAAGGCTCTAGGGCCGTGGTTTTATCCGCCTTCGTGATCTCCACCATCCTCGATGGAGCGGCATCGGAGTTGTCCAGGAGCCCAGTAACCTGCGCACCTCGCAGGGCTGGGAGAACCTGAGTCTTCCA